CTCACTCACTCACTCACTCACTCACTCACTCACTCACTCACTCACTCACTCACTCACTCACTCACGCACTCACACACGCACACACGCACACACGCACACACGCACACACGCACACACGCACACACGCACACACGCACACACGCACACACGCACACACTCACTCACTCACTCACTCACTCACTCACTCACTCACTCACTCACTCACTCACTCACTCACTCACTCACTCACTCACTCACTTCGCTTCGCTTCGCTTCGCTTCGCTTCACTTCGCTTCGCTTCACTTCACTTCACTTCACTTCGCTTCGCTTCGCTTCACTTCACTTCACTTCACTTCACTTCACTTCACTTCACTTCACTTCACTTCACTTCACTTCACTTCACTTCACTTCACTTCACTTCACTTCACTCACTTCACTTCACTTCACTTCACTTCACTTCACTTCACTTCACTTCACTTCACTTCACTTCACTTCACTTCACTCACTTCACTCACTCTCACATCCCTCACTCACACACACCACACTCGCATCACTCACTCACACTCTCACTCACTCACTGTACATGAACATACATACATACACACAAACTCACCCACCATCACCGCTCCATCACTCTTACTTCTATGGTCAGTCTAAGTCTAAAGAAGTTGGTAACATGTGGGGTTATCCGGTCCTTTAATTACTCATGTTTACTGAATAACAAACAAATGGATCACTGGGGACCCTTGAAAAGTAGCTGCCATACCGATGCTTTCGCCTCAAGAGACAGGACCTTTGTCGGATGGTGCGTGCGCTGTGCAGGGTGCAATATCTCAAGAAGTGCATAGCCCAGCGGCGTGTTTCGGGTTCCTGATAGTTCTGATAGCTTTTCGGGAAATCTTTAGGATCCATCCCCCCATTTAGATGGTAATACCATGGTTTCTATTGATTGTCCTGCAAACAAGAACGCGCTGAAGCTAGCCCCCTAGCTAGATATCATATGATATCATTTTCATTGTTTTTGAGATCATATCCTATACTGAAGATCCACTTTTTGTGAGCTTGACCAATACTGGAATGATCCCGCAGTGCTTAGCCCTATTCCCAACTAGGCTAGAAGTATGGCTATATTCAATGGACCGACCAAAAAGAAAGATGAACCACTTGTCCGGGTGATTTTATGATGCTTTAGTTCCCCACCGGACGTATCAAAAAAGCCCCTGGCCAGCGCCCAGAGGCCTTTACTCAATGCCATCAAGCGTCGGGTACGTGAAAGGCTCAGGAAACCTCAGGGTGAGTCGCCATTGCTTGGACATTACAATACATTCCATGTTCTTTTTGGCCTTGCTGACCTTGCACTTGATGATCTTTTGAAGGACCCAACCTAAACCCCCAATCAGTCTGGGATGATGCTAATCTCACAAGACTTTCCAGGCCTCATTTTCGGCAGTTCAACGAGTTTCATTCGCGCCGTTCACCTGACCTTTTGCCTGGTTTGAATTACTATCGATTGCTTGACTCATGTTGCCTCAAACAAAACCAATGAAAAAACATATCGTTCGAATCCCAAATTCTTGCTACAATTCACACTTGTTACTCGTTGCATCTAGTTGCACGAGTAGGTTTCATTCCCATCCTGCTGGTTTCGCAGATTTCCAGATAGCCCTCGCAAAGCGCAACGTCCGTGCTGAGGAAGCCCAGAGGTCGATGGTCTGTCGCCACGGCTTTTCAGTCAGCTGCTGTGCTGCTGGCATCATTTGCTCGGGAGATTTTATCCTCTGGTAAACGTTTACATAGCTATGGAAAATTACCATGCTATTAATGGGTAAATCAACTATTTCTAAATGGCCATTTTCAATAGCAAACTGTTAGGGTATCAGAGGGTATATGATTTTACCGGCCATGGTGAAAAAAATGGGGATTAAGCCTGGTTTGTAGTTTCAATTATGTTGATTCTCCACCGAACCAATACTTTTTTTTGGGATGAGTTGAAGTCAACCAGCAACCATGAAGCAAAACAGTATAATTAGCCACTTATGGCCAGAATGATAACGCATATTATACTCAACCATACACGAAAACCATATTGTATAATTTATGTTTCTCTCAAGATACCGAGCCTTGTTAGTAGTCATCTCCATGTTTCATTGTTTTCAGCTGTGAAAACTCGCGTCGGCCGCCCACAGGAGCGACTTGCGGCGTCTGAGATTCATTGACGCACCGTCTCCTGGCTGGAGGTATATCAGAGAGGAGACGCCTGCAACTAGAAGACCCCTGCGGAAAGAATGATGTACAGTATAGCAAGCGCCCAAAAATATACAAGGTGAGGCCCCCCAGTGATGTTTGTTATAAACCCATTGACTATAGATATATATATTCCACCATAAACCATAGCCAACCTAGTTATAAACCAACTTAGCTATCGTTCACGGGCCTCAGCTTGTGGAAAGGCAATGAAGAAAGTCATTCACCATTCTATTTTAGCCGGATGTCACTTTTCTTTTTTTTGGGGGGAAGGTTATTCTATGCTAACATGGCTCTGTGGGAATATGAATGCAGTGATGATGAACCAATGGATTAGATAATTATGATCCCTGCAGCCATCGGACCTTACTGAAGGCTTTAACTATCATGAAATATATGGATTTCAGATTGACTTATGAAACCATCGTCTAGGTGAAACTTTTTAGGTGTTTTTGTTGCCCACCAGAAATCCGCTGAGTAAACCACTGGTTTAGAAGTGAGAATTTAAGAGCTGCACATTTGAAGGTATTTTCGATACCCAGCTAAAGATTCGTTTTTTTTGTGTGTTATCCAAGATTAGGGATGTGTCATGCCGCCCAAAAAAAATTACGTCACTTATGTCTCCACCATTCCCACGCCTCAGGATGCTTCAAGACATGTTGAGACACTGGCGCTTCCACGAAAAGTTAGAGGAGGCCCTGGAAATGTGTCCATGGGGGCCATAAATGGCATAGATGTCCCAAATTCCCATTGGTTGATGAAAAAAGAGGGGTTTGAAGGTTTACCCCTTTAACAACAGGTAAATGATGATAGATGGTATACCAAACCGGCCCCTCTATTTTTACCAGAAGGGCATTATTGAATGACTGTTTTCTTTTTTGGATTTGTTTGGGGACATATCTCTGAAACATTCTGAAACATATCTCGCCGGCTCGGCTCAGCCTGATGCGAAGGACAACCTCAGACATGACGAACTCAAACATGGGATATATGAGGGTTGAAGTTTATCAGATTATATGGGATTATATGGGGTATTAACTCAAACATGGGATACATGAGTTGCATGCAACGTCAAATATGAACTACGTTTCATGGATTATCATGGATTGTTCACGGCCCTTCGTCTTGGTGAAGCCTTAATCTAAAGTGGATCACAGGGTTTGGTCTAAGAATAGGGTATCCCAAATCCCATTTCTCCCATCAAAAGAGATCAAAACTGCCATTTTCGGGGAATCTGTTGCAGAACACCCGTTTTCAGAGCCCAAATTTTATATGAAGTGGCTATTCATACCATTTGATTCCCTTTACATTCCAAGTTTTCTTGCTTAAATCCCCCCAATTTTGATATATCTCCCACTGCCCAAGCAGCCAAGCTGCCCAATTTGTTGACAGAGTTCCAGCACCCATTTGCTTCTGCCGGCGGAACCCTAAGCCGGGGAGATACCCTCTGGTAAACAAACAGTGTGCTATTGAAAATGGCCATTTATACTGGATTTTCCCATTAAAGATGGTGATTTTCCCATCAGTTATGTAACAGTTTACCAGGCCGGGTATGACAGGTGAGTGCTTTTGACCTGTCCCTGTTGCTCATTGCCTTTGCTCGCTCCTCCATGCGGGATGAGGCCACGTTCCGAAGGTAGGCCAAAGATGCACGATTTCAACGCGAGGTGTTTGATAGATGATGATGCGATACGGGACAAAAACCAAGGTATAATGATGTTTAATGGTATTTAATGATGTTTAATGGTGTTTAATGGTGTTTTACATGTTCTTTTCTAATGTTTTGTTTTTTTTAGTGCGAAGAGACCAACTGCCACCATGGCCGGACTACGATAGATTCCGATGCCATTTTTAACGGCCGTTCATGGGGGGCTGTCCAATCAATCCTGCTATGGTAACTATGGTAACTATGAAACATGGTAAAACATGGGATTACTAGCTGGGATGCACCATCTACCAACTGGTGGAGGATTTCTTCCAGGAGAACTATGTTTTTGGTGGAATGTTTTTTTCTGTTTAGTTTCTATTTTGGGATGTTTGCTTCCCTGCTTCTCTGCTTTTCCGCTTCTTCGCTTCTCTGCTTCTTTGCTTTTCTGCTTCTCTGATGTTCCCTGTTTTTTGCTTCTCGAACCGACTGTAAATAAACCATAAGAAACACTATATAAACAAACCGACCCTAAATAAACCCCAAACCAAACCCCAAAAAAACTAAACCCTCAAAAAATCTGAAACTTCGCCCAAATAGACCCTGAAACAACACTACTTAGATCCTAAACCAACGCTAAATAGGTCTTAAACCAAGCCTGAATAATGCCTAAACCAACCCAAAATGAAACCAACCCTAAATAGATTTTAAACATTCTGAAACCAAGCCTAAATAACCCCTAAGCCAAATAGATCCTAAGCAAACCTTTAGCAGATCTTAAACCAAGCCTAAACAAACCCTAAACCAACCCGAAATAAACCCTAAACCAACCCCTAAAAACCCTAAAGCCAATCCTAAAACCAACACCAACACGGGCTAAAACCAAGCCTAAAAAGACCATACAACGAGCGCAAAACCAACCCTAAACCAAACCCTAAACTAGCCCCCAAATAAACCCTAAACCAACCCTAAATGAACCCCATAAAACAACTGTAAAAACAACCAGAAGCCAAACCCGCCCCAAACAACCCCCCAAACCAACCCTTAACCTTGGTTGCAAAATACCATGCAACATGAACCGATGGAGCACCAAAATGGTGTAAATACCATGGAAAATAAGAGAATGTTGCAAATACCGTTGAAATGGCAGCTTCCAGCTCCAACATGCTGCAAATAGCAAGGAAAAACGGACAGAACGGGAAATCCAAAAAAGAATCCCTCAGCGGAAAAAACGTAATTCCCCAAGCAATTCCGGAGCCTTTCTTCCATCCACAGTACCTCATAGATCTTTGAATCATGGCCTGGGTGTCTTTGCTCACCAACAGGACAGCGTGAGCGCCATCGGCAGAGCCTTGAGGTTTGGGACCTGGAATGAAATGGGGGTAAAGCTCAAGGGTCAAAGGTTTTTCAGCTAAAAAAAAGAGTGTTTTGTTATGTTTAGCCATTCAACACCTCCATTTAGTTAGGGGATATCATGACATATTATATGGGTATGGGTCAATACCTATAGATACATTTTTAGTGGGATGAACATCCATTTACCAGCTATTTTGGGATTCACTAGGTACCAGGGTTTTGACCCATAGCCATATATAAATATATATATATATATACATATTATAGATATAAAGTGTTTAACGTTCATTTTCCCATTGAACACATCCACGACATTTTCACGTGACTGGGGATATGTTAGAAGACCTGGATTGAGTCAAAAAGATCCAAGTTTTGGGGGCCATAGAAATGTCCCGCTGGTGAAATGAATGATACCCGGCCTGGGAAACATACAAAGATGGGCCAAGGGAACATAGCCATGGAAAAACCATAGGAAAATGGGAAAAAACCATAGGAACATGGAGGTTTTACCCTCTGGTAAACAAACAGTTTGCTATTGAAAATGGCCATAGAAATAGTTGATTTACCCAGCTACATAGCATGGTGGATCTTTCCAGTTCGTTATGTAAACGTTTATCAGAGGGTAATGAATGTGAAATGCAGCACGATTTTTTTGTGATGTTTCTAGAGGAAATGATGATCATCACCTGATATTAGCGTTAAATGACTTAGATTGAAACCATGATTGAGAAATGCCCAGTTGATCCCTCTTTGATGGTTTGAACATGTTTGAACAAGTGGGCATCATGGATGAATCGACTATTTATGCAATATAGAATCAACCTTCTTTGAAATGCTGGTTGTTGAGTGGAACCCCATGGACATCTACAAACCCATATCTTACCGTCCAGCCTAAACGTCTATCCTGCGTCTCCAGTACATTGCAGCATTGTTTTCACGCCAAGGGTAGGGAGTGTATTTTGATAAGAGAAAGCAAGATGTATGCAAGTTTCGCGTTTGTCCAAAAATGCCAAAAATGGCACGACATTGCATGGGGCAAATGGGGGGAAGTCGACAATAAATCAATGTTTAACTGTTGCGGGAAACCTAACTTTCCGATAAACCCAGATATACCCAGATGGATCTGTGTACTACCTTCCGCCTGCATTTGGGTGTGCAGGACATGTGTTATGCAATATTGGGTGCTCCAAAAAAAGGATGGTTTATTGCTGGACATGACCAACATACAGATGGCCGCAGGTTCTCAAATTTTGAGTATGCAATTCTAGTTCTGAAGATGTCTGTCCGGTCAGATGTGGATTCCAATCCTTTGACACCTCAGCATATGCATGCAGACACCTTTTGCTTGTGACTAATGACTAATCAAAAGCTGTTGCGCCACTGCTATTGCTGTTGGTCGGTTTACCCTCTGGTAAACTAACATAGCTATGGAAAATCACCATTTTTAATGGGTAAATCCACTCTAAATGGCCATTTTCAATAGCTTTTTGTATGTTTACCAGAGGGTACCTCATTCTTCGAAGTATCAAACGAATTGGCCGCTTCAAACACGACAAAACCCACATCAATCATCCAGGGACATGATAAGACAATGGGTGATCAACTAGTTGGTACCTTCATTTGGTGAAAATTACCTTTCATCGCAGCCAAAAACGAATGATGAGCAGCAATTTTTTCATTGTTACCCGTTGATCTTAATGTCTTCTTCATGTATTCTTAATTCTCTTGATTTAAAACAGGCACAGTTGACAATTTTTCATTGTTACCCGTTTATCTTCATAAATCTTAATGTCTTCTGAATTCTCAACTGATTTAAAAAAGGCACCCCGTTGAAACATGGCAAGAAACCGGACCCCCCCCCGTTCTTTTGTTCCCAGTAGGATGATTTTGCCAGGCAAAAGTCCAGCGAAGTCTCTGCCTCTGCTGTCCCCTGGCGGCCATGGCGGCCAGGGAACGGCGTTGGAACGGCGGAACGGAGGAATCGTACTGTAGATCTTTGATAGTAAACCAATAGTAAATATATGTATATATATATATATCAATTTGGAATGCCAATTGATATATATATATATATATGTACATATACATATTCCAACATAGCAATAGGCTTGTCACAACTGTTTACTGTAAATTCAATAATAACACCAATTAGTAAAGCAATACCCATGGGGATCCATGGGGATAAACCAACCAACCAATCGGAAGTGGTTTTCCCGCACCATTTGATACGAAATGGAAAACCAAATGCCACGAGGCGAGAAGCCTCCAATTTTGGAGGGTTTATGAGGGTTTACAATTGATAGTGGTTTATACCACCAATTCTGGTGAAAGGCTGAGGCTTTTCGTATGTTTTTCATGTTTATACCACGAATTCTGGTGAAAGGCTGAGGCTTTTTGTATGTTTTTCATGTTTATACCACCAATTCTGGTGAAAGGCTGGTTGGGTTTTTGTATGTTTTTGTTGGGTTTACCAGATGAGACCATGGGAAAACCATCACTTCCACTGTTCGTTGGAAGCCGTTTTTTTCTTCGGAGGCTGCGGGATCTCTCTATGCCTTAGCTCTTTTGGACGTCACGGATGAAACAGGTTGGGCCTCACCTTGGGCGATTTGTGGGATCTGGGTGGATTTTCGGTGTCAGAGATTTCTTCATTTTTCGGGGGTTTCAATGGTTCAACATGGCCATGGATCAATACCTATTAATACAATTTTTAGGGGGATGACCATCCATTTACCAGCTATTTTGATGTTCACCAGGGGTACAAGGTTTTGACACACTGCCACATGGTTCAACAGTTCTTCATCTCACTTTTTCGACTTTTTGCTGGTCAAGTACTTGACCTCTGCCAGACCTCTGCCAGATTTGCTGTGTCCCTTCAACTGAAACTTGATGATGTGCTCTTGTTCCTTGAATTGAATGCGGCATGGATCAGCCACCAGTTTGACCATACTGACTTGGCCTCCCGGTGGCCAACATCCTGAAGGGAAAATATGGATCCCTTCACAACCAATAAAATCATCAAACATATTTTTCTTCAAGGTGAAAAGAACCATTACTACTGGAATTAAGTCACGGAAAACATCATAAAACATATAAAACCACAAATCGAAGTATCGATCAAGATAATATGAACACTATATGAAAAAACATCTTTTGCCATACAAATACCATCAAATATCATTAAAGAAAACATAGAACATCATAAAACAAGTGGAAACCAACAACAACTTTTTTTTGCATAAAACCAGTATAAAACCAGTATAAAACAACATACGACCGGTATAAAAATGTATAAAACCCTGCTTTAATTCCCAGGCGTCTTCCTGGTGGCCAAAGTTTTGCCACGTTGCCTGGGACAATCCTCCAACCAGGCAGGGGACTTTGGGAAGTTATCATGGTGAACCAATAGGAACCATAAAAAATTGTCAATTGATTGGTAAATAATGCTTAAATGGTTGAACACCATGGTTATCTCAAGTTATCTCTATTATTGTTGGTTAAATCAATATAAATGATTGTATAGTGGTTTTAACATGTTTTAACCATCAAAAATAGGGTTTTAATCATCCAAGAATACGGATTTATCATGATTTATCTAATGAATAATGAATATGGGTCTGTCTGAAAATGATCGGTATATACCTATCATAAAATTGTCATTTTTTACAGATGTTTTTGACATGTTTTTTTGGGGAGTCTAAGTCCCAGAAGCATTTCTTCCAATTTTAGAAGCTAGAGTAACTACAGGAAATGTACTTTGTCTTAGGTGGGAAGCTTTGCCAGCAGCATTGAGTCAAATAGTAAGCATACAAAAGCATACCCTCTCGCAATTTTCACGTGGCTAAAAAATGTAGGGTTCCACATGAGGAGCTGGTGAATATCGCCTTTGCTCTGGTTGCCGGGAAGCACAGTGGCACGCGGATGCTATGGGATGCTCATAGGGATGGAGGATTTTTATCGGAAACGTAATGGTTGGAATTCTTTTTATGATGGTAGGATGGCCCTCAAAGGACCATCATAAACCTCAAAAACCTCATTTTTTTCAAGACCATTTCTATCAAAAAATCATTCTGATTGCTGAATGATTCATAAATCCCAGCAATTTTTTTTGGTGAACCCCAGGGATTTTCCGCTACCTACAGGTCTTGGATCTGCCTGGTGGCGAACTATTGAGCTTTGCACTGGAACGACTTGCGCCGCAGGCGGAAGCAGCGGTTGGCGATGGGTTGAATTGGTGAGTGCTAAAGAAACTTCGAACAATATTACAGATATTTACAGATTACCCTCTGGTAATTTAACATAGCTATTGAAAATGGTGATTTATAGTGGATTTACCCATTGAAAATTATGATTTTCCATAGCTACGTTAAATTACTAGAGGGTAAGTACAATATCACCAGGAGTCTGGAACCTATAGAATTGTTTTGGTACATCACCATAAATCACCAACAAAATCTAGCGGTCGCCCAATCCAGTGCCAGCATCTTCGAACTTTGCCTCCGCCAAATAGATGGATATGTTCCGGACAGCTCCTCCAAATCGGACTAGTTCCGAACAGCGCAAAAAAATGCAATCCTCCTTTTGGGTGTGGAGTTTTTGTGAGAAAAAGACGGTTGATCTATGCCTCAATGTTTTGATGGTTTCTTGTTGGTCCAGCCTTATTGATCCGCGAAGAACACACGATTGGAGAAACGCACCAACTGGGGCCTAAAAAATGCCGAGATGTAGGATGGCACAAGAAGATGACCAAAGCTGGGAGTTGATGAATTTGGTGGACAGGGGCAAAGTCTCATATGGCTATGGATCAATACCTATTAATACCATTTTTAATGGGATGAACATCCATTTACCAGCTATTTTGATGTTCACCAGGGGTACAAGGTTTTGACACACTGCCATATGGAGGTTTCCTGAATAGGGGTACCCCCAAATCATCCATTTTAGATTGTTTTAGATTGGGATTTTCCACATTTTTCCGGAAAAACCATCCAGCTATTGGGGATTCCCCATGTATGGAAACCCCATATAGTCTCAAGATTTTCCCAAAAAAAAGAAATTCCACAATCCAACCCAGAATCATATTGTTGGTTATATATATAGTTATATATATGTATATAATATCATAATAAACATAATCAAAATTCTAGTAATAATGATAATGATAATAACGACAATAATAATAATTAATAATTAATAATAATGATGATAATAATAAGAATTAATAAAGAATAATAATAGTAATAATGATAATAATAATTAATAATTAATAATTAATAATTAATAATTAATAATTAATAATAATAATAGTAATAATAATACTACTACTACTACTACTACTAATAATAATAATATATATATATATATGTATGATGTATATCCCCTCATCATATCCCATTATAACATCATAAAATGATTGTTTTGTTTCCCTCATAGCAAATACGTTGGTTCAAATCACCTTTCAGGCACAATGTTCGATTTGTCAGCTACATAACATTATACTATATCCCCATTAAGTCCCAATCAACATAATTTCCAATTCTTGGGGCAATCCCATGTATATATCCAATAGAAACCGTGATTATAACCTCATGATGGTTGGTTTTACATCACGCTTTTGTTCGTCGAATCACCGTTTTTTGGGCCAAAGTCCAGTTTTCGGAGGCTTATCCCACGCAATTAGTGAATGATCACAGTTAGATACTAAGATGCTATAAGCCATTTAGGGGATAAGCCAAAGGGGACTTCCTAACCAGGGTGATGAAATATAGTTAACACTATCTCAGTGTAACCAGTTTATAACCAGTTTATCTAATAAACAATAGTTATGATAATGGATAAGACTCCCCACTATCTCCCACATTCACCACATATAGAAATTCCCAAAAGATAAAGTTGGAAACATGGAAACAACATGAGGTAAATAATCATATCATTTCTATAATCTGGGAACACTTTTCGGCATTTTTCTGTGGTTGCTATAGATAAACTTATTTTCTGTTGTCAACGTTCCATTATTCTATATTCATTATGACAAACAAATAGCTTTTATAGTGATTAACTATCACGTTCCCACATTTACGTCTGTAATATCCATTACCTCACACAGTTAGCAAGTTTTCCATAAGTACTTCGGTGCTGGACGGAGGCTGAATCCTTGGATACTGTGGGGGTCCATGCTCTACGCATCGTGGCACATGCCGTCGGGGGGTCCAGACATGTCGATCGACGCAACGCGGGGATCTGATGTGGGCAACCCAATGATAGATCTAACACTTTGGGGATATAGTTTATACCACCCAAAAAAATGGAGATGTTTTTTTTTCCCCACCTGCCAGGTGAGGGTTGTTAGATTTTATGTCAGTTGCCTCCTCCTGCCTCCTCCTGCCTCCTCCTACCTCCTGCCTCGTCCTCCTCCTCCTCCTCCTCCTCTCCTCCTCTCCTCCTCGTCCTCCTTGTCATCCTTGTCGTCCTTGTCGTCCTCGTCGTCCTCGTCCAACTGCGACCCGCGATCCACAGTGTTCCCTGCCGGACCTCAACCACGAGCATCCACGCCCAGTGTTCCCTGCCGGACCTCAACCGCGACCATCCCTGCCCAGTGTTCCCTGCCGGACCTCAACCACGACCATCCACGCCCAGTGTTCCCGGCCGGACCTCAACCGCGAGTATCCATGCCAAGTGTTCCCTGCCGGACCTCATGTAGGAAGATATGGGACAAAGAATGTGCAGAAGAAAGTTACAAAGATAGAATGCCAGAAGAATGCCGGAAGAATGTCAGAAGATATGCCAGAAGATATGCCAGATAGAATGCCAGAATGATATGTCAGATAGAATGCCAGAAGATATGCCAGATAGAATGCCATCAGATTTGCCAGATAGAATGCCAGAAGATATGCCAGATAGAATGCCATGCCAGAAGATATGTCAGATAGAATGCCAGAAGATATGCCAGATAGAATGCCAGAAGATTTGAAGAAATGCCAGATAGAATGCCAGAGATATGTCAGAATATATGCCAGAACATATGCCATATGCCAGATAGAATGCCAGATAGAATGCCAGAAGATATGTCAGATAGAATGCCAGAAGATATGCCAGATAGAATGCCAGAAGATTTGCCAGATAGAATGCCAGAAGATATGCCAGAAGATATGCCAGATAGATTGCCAGATAGAATGCCAGAAGATATGTCAGATAGAATGCCAGAAGATATGCCAGATAGAATGCCAGATAGAATGCCAGCAGATATGTCAGAATATATGCCAGAAGATATGCCAGATAGAATGCCAGATAGAATGCCAGAAGATATGTCAGATAGAATGCCAGAAGATTTGCCAGTAAGAAAATCTATAAATGTCATGGTGGGGATCACACGAAGTAAAGTAATTGTTTTTTTTTTTTTTATGGGATGTTCTATGATTGGGTTTACTAAGATTATCTCATGTACATATGGGTGTGGCTGAAGATGGTATACCATGGACATTTTGGGTACCATATTTTCAGACAACCCCAAGATATTATTATATAAGATGTATGATGGATGGATATCTAACCAATAATACTTAGCCATATTATATATATATACATATCATCAAAATTCATTCTACAAAGGATTTTTAAAATATATAATAACCAACAATAATTGGACATAATTTTGGTGATATTTTTTAACAACACCTGACAACTGGGTCATGATCAATCATGGATGTGGCAAAGATTTTTCGAGATCTTTAGTGAGTACCTAAGATGAGAAGAAAATAGGTGCATTTCCTAAGATATGAGATATCAAATATATAGATACCTTTAGATATCAGTTCCTAGTAGATGAACGGGAACGATTTGAACAATGGATTTGTGGCTGAACACAAACCAGAACCAAACGTACTGGGAAACAAGGTTATATTTGACGGTCATAACAGAAGGCGTCCCGTGCTTTTGTCTGGCTGTTCAATCAATCCACGTTGAAGATGTGTTTCTTTTCAATGTGTTCTTTGGGTTGGAAAGAATACATGCCAGATAGATTGCCAGAATAGATGCCAGATAGAATCTGATAGAATGCCAGAAGAGATGCCAAATAGGATGTCAGAGTACATGCCAGAAAGAATGGCAGAAAGAATGTCAAAATAGATGCCAGATAGAATGATGAACGTCAGATAGGTAATTTCAGAATATTTATGCCATATATACTTCTAGAAGATATTGTCAGAATAATTTGTCAGGGTGGGGATCACTCGAAGAAAAGTAATTTCTCTTTTTATTCAACATGTTGCTACGTCATGTTTGTTACGACATATTTTGTAGGGAACTCTTGCATTTTCCATGGAATTCTATGGACGCCTTGCATCTTTTCAGTTGATTGATGTTAATCGTTTGTTTTAAACATTTAACTGAAATTGAGTCATATAGTCATTTAGGATGATTTGGGACTGAAATGATTGATGTTACCCTCTGGTTCTTCAACATAACATAGCTGTTGAAGCTCGCACACCATGAAATTTCCATTGGGTATGTTCCATTAAATCCCCATTAAATCCCCATTGGTTTTCCTATGGTCTTCCTATCGTCTTCCTATGTTTCGCCATCACTTGACATTGCTCTGATGGTCTGCAGGTGAAGTATCCCGAGGCCCTACGTCCGCGGATGCGACAGAGCTTCGAGGTCAGATGGGGATAGATGCTTTTTGTTACCAGCATTAACCAACTTAAAACTGTCATAATTATATAGAGTAGATAAAGTGTAACTAACCTAAAACTATACATGTATTTGGAGTATATAGTTTGGAGGGTATCAATAAAATTAGCCATGCAATGATGTTTGGCACTGGATGCAAGACGATTTGGGGCTCCATGTTGAGTTCTCAAGCTGTACTCTCAACCACTGCGGTCTTGCACAGCATATCCCACTGAAGATCTCCAGATCTCCGTGGGCACATCGCAGCACTGCCGGACCTCAACCACGAGCTCCAGATCTTAGTGGGCAGTGCTCATGGCAGAGAGAATGTCAGAATAGATGCCAGATAGAACGCCAGAAAAGAACGTCAGAATAGAATGTCAGAAAACATATGCCATATATACTTCCAGATGAGATGTCAGAAACACTATGACAAAATCATTTGCCACGGCGGGGATCTCTCGAAGTAAGGTAATTTGTTTGGCAGCACCATTTTTTCGTGATGAAACCTGTACTCAACACGCCTTCAATGGCAGCCCATTGCGACTATGATCCCAACTTGACCGGGAGGACGTTGAAGTGAAGAGACGTTGTGTAAAGGGCCTTCAGCAGGTGTGGCTCCTGGAGGGATGTGCTGATCCAAATTGCGATCCTGGTTGGTCTAAGGGAAAATGTGGAAAATGTGCAGGAAAACTTTGGTTTTTATCCCAAAAAAGGGTCCTTTCAACCAGTTCGGGGATGTTTTTTTTTTTTCCAGGGACAAGCGGCAACCTGTTTACTAAATAAAGGGATTGTTCGCAAAGTGCGTTCACTGTCATTGCAACTGGTTGGTCGAAAACTCCGAATTCTGGCAGTCCGGAAGACTCCAAGTTTTGAAGGACACAGCCTTGAATTTTTCAAAACTCCAAGTTTTGAAGGTCAGTTCCGAAATTCCAAGTTTTGAAGGCCAAAAAACCTTGAAACTTGAACTTTTGAAGGTCCACACCTTGAACACTCACATTGTTTGAGGTTTAAAAATCAACCGCACAAACTTACATGCAACAGGTTGCAGGCTCAAACCCGCTTAGGTACGGGGAGCGCAATCTGCTTTCCTGACTTGTGAGGATGCCTGCGAAAGCAAACCCCGAGATCCAGAAAAGCGGGGTTCTATACTTATGTTTGTTGATGTTTGTTTTGCTTGCTTTGCTTTTGCTGTGCTTTGCTTTCCTTGTTTTGCTTACTTTGGTTGTGTCTGGCCGTTTCTCCGTTGCTCGCGAACGGGAGCCCCTTCAACGATAAAAACCATGTTGTCAGTTGTGGCATTCACCTGTAGGAGAAACACAAAAAAATCGGCATAGGACCTGAAGACCTTGCAAGAGCTGTGTACAAATACCTACTGGGAGCATCTCACAAGAGCTACACTTTGAAATTGTTTGAATACATTTTGAAATTTTAACGACATGGTTTCCCCGAATGCAATTGATTTTGGCACAGGAACGCAACAAAAAACACAGCACCATACCCACTCCCAATGGAAGAACAAGTTTCCAAAAGTGACATTTTGACATGTTACAAGGAGCAGATTCAAACTGGTTGATCTTTGATATGTATTTTTTTCATTTCCAATTTTACCTTCACATGTGGTAGATACTATTTTGTTAAAAAGGACTTCAGGATTGGCCATTGCATGTTCTTGTTTGACAATATCACATTTCAACCCACCATCACGTTTTTACATTACAACTCAACATCACATTACAACTCACCATTGCATGGTCCTGTTTGAAAACATGTTTTTCTAACTACCCTAGCCTCTGGTAAACATGTACATAACTATGGAAATTCCTTAATATATACGTAAATCAACTATTTCTATGGGCCATTTTCCATGTCGCTTTTTGTATGTTTACCAGGCCGGGTAAGTTCAACCCACACATGTTCCATGTTCCCAACTGGCCCATCTTGCCTTAGCGCAGCTAGGTGCTGTTGAAAACTCACCGCATGGTCATCCAGTAAGTCGGCTGAAAGGGGGCTCAGGGTGTCCTTGAATGGATTACCCCAAGCTCGCTGGATGGTTGATTTCACGGAACATCCTAGTTACTAAACATGGATGATGACTGGGGGTAACAGAGTTATGATGTTATAATATGTTATAGGAAACCTCCATATTAGTTGATCCATTTCAATGTTGAACATGATGCTTTTCACTCTGCGGGTAGCTTGGGTAGTCTACTTTCACACAAACTCACCATGGTGTTTTTTAAAAACGTGTTGATATGATGGCTGTACTTAAAAACGGATCCCATGAATTGCAATCGGCTCAATCGGCGTCGGCGGCGTCAGCGGCGTCAGCGCTGCGCTGAGGTGTCCCACCATGAGTTCGAAACTACAAAAGGCTTTGGAACGATACTTTCAGGCTTGGCAAGATCTGCTGTTGTGTGTTTTTCATCCTGTTTCATGTTTGCACACTTTCTTGATTGTTTTGGGAATCTCTGAGGTTTCATGTTTTATGATCCATTTTTTATATAATGATGGATGAGTCCAGTTTTCATCAATGCAGGAGCTCCAAGTTCCACATCTACATGAGCAGGCCGACCTGGGCATTTTTTTTTCCCGCACGGTTCTGAAGATTGCTGGATTCTACAGATTCCCCGGAACACTGAGCCACTGGATTCCCAGTTTTACTGAGATTTTCAGAGAACGATGGTTCCCTTCAGATAGTGATGATGACTTTGGCTCCGATTTTTTTTTCATTCTGAAGTTCTGACATGTTCTGACCATTTCTTCGAAACTCGGATATTTTCAGATGGTTCCATGGTCAGAAATCGGCCCCCCAAAAAAAGGTCCTGATGTCATGGATTCCAGAGATCTGAACAGAAATCCTTTCAGCTTGGTCATTTTTGGTGATTTATTTGGCTGGTACCCGGCCTGGTAAACGTTGACATAACGAACTGGAAAGATCCACGCATGCTATTTTCATGGGTAAATCCATTATTTCTATGGACCATTTTCAATGGCAAACTGTTTGTTTACCAGGCCGGGTAATGATTAAATTCATCCAGGTTGATACCCTGCAAACTGAATCTGGAAAACGTACCATTTGTTCATCATTTTCCTGGGGGAAACCATTGGTTTTCCAGATTTTTTTGTATGTTGACCTAGGGTGTCTCTCTCTAAAGACCCCAAAAAGAAACCAAAGTTGATCACCCCATTGAGATCATTGAGCCATCACTTTGAGCCATGAAAAATACCACTGATTGATTATTGTAGGAGGTTCTAAGTTCTACTGAGTTCTACTGGATAAAAAGAATGGGATTGCCACGCAAAGTTTGGGATAGCCTCCAGTAAATTGCCACTTCGACCGGGAAACATCGTATTTTTCATGGCTGGAAACATCTGGAAACCATGGGAACCCCCTTGGCAGGCAGTGGGTCCCTACGTGCCGGACTTCGTGTTGCCTTTGAAGATCGCAGTGGAAGTCGATGGCTACACCCATTTCTACGCCTTTTCGCAACGGCTCACCGTCCTTTGGCCAAAGGTGTCCCAAATGGGTGATCCATCCCCATGAACAGCCTCATTTAAAAAGGTCCCGCATGTGTGTAAATCGCCCAAAAAACACCATGCTTGCTGGGTGCTATTTAAATTACTAAGGGAGAAAAAGAAGGGATGATCTTCCCATATCTTCCCATATCTTGCCATTTTTCATATTTTTTCATGTTCCCCGAAATGGACATCTTTGGACATTCCCCATTTGTTGGGGGAAACTTCCAGCGCTCAACTTGCTTCTGAGGCCAAGTCTGAGCTCAAACGTCGAATTCTCCGGGCGCTTGGATGGGGTGCGCGATTCATCGGTTGATCGCTTTGGAAGTCATGGTCCCATGGAAGTCATGAAATGTCACCTCTGGTAATGACTAACATAGCGAACTGGAAAATCACCATGAACATAGTTTTTTTTTTTTTAAAAAAAAACTATTTCTATGGTCATTTTTCCGTAGCTACGTTAAATTACCAGAGGGTATATGATATGTATATATATATACTAGTATAAGTATATATTAATTACATATAATTATAAATATATGTATATAGTAGCATCCCAATTTTTGTAATCATGATATTCTAATGTATTCTATATGATACCCTCCGGTGTAAACGTGGGCTGGAAAATCCCAACTCACTCAATGGCTTTTGCTGGAGCTGGGAGTTTCCCAAAAAATGGCACCAGTAGCAGTGCAAGGCAACAAAAACTCGAAGAAACATTGAATGTGCAGCTTATCCATCTTCAGTGATTTATTGAGTGACACATAGTGAAACCATCCATTGTGAATATTGAATAAATTGGCTTTCTATGGTTTTCTCGATGACATAATCACAAGATTCACAGGACTTTCTGACTCAACGGATTAAGCGAACATGTACCAGACCATGTATACATGTGTTAAACATTTCTTGTCATAGCATCTCAAACCCTCACTTTTGTTTCAATTATGCACATGAAATACCAGGTGTTTCTGTCAATCCCCATGGTATTTCTGTAGCTCCATGCCAGGTGTGGTGAGTTTGCCTCACTTCCACTGGTTGGAGCTGGGACACCAGGATCCACCGAACATGCCTGGATTTCATATGGGGATTCTACCAAAGATGGCAGAAACGCATGACTGAAGTTTGCAACTCCTATGGAATTAGTTGAATCACATGGGTTTCCTTGGGTTGGATTGATAGTATATTGATGTTAGGTGTAGCAGATTTTCCCTTCAAACCATTTCAAACCAACGTCGTCGACGGTCGCAGGAAAAGTTAGTCTTTTTGATTGAGCAGATTGAGGAGGTCTCGCAGAGCTCCTTTTCCGCTGGAAGCTCAGTGATGGTGAACGTGGTGAATGTGCGGCAGCACCCTTGATGTTCCACGATTTTTTTTTCGTAGAACGGCTTGGTAGTGTTCAGATTTATGTAATATTCATATGATTGTGATCCTATTAATCAAACATGGATTATGATCCTAACATATCCGAACCATGAAAGAAAGAGTTCGTGTATATGCTGTATGTGTTTCCACCAGGACAAGATTGACCGGATGAGATACAGAAGCCCTGGTCCTCCGTGCTGTGTCAGGTGGTGCAAAGAACGCCCTTGGAAGGTTTCTCACCCCCGCTGCACAGGTGTGATCTGTGTGAACTGGGCGGGTTGAGCTGCCCGGAAGAAGCGAAAGTCGAGAGGCAACCTAAGGTAAACATATAAAAAGATGTGGAAAACCGTGGAAACCCCATGGTTTCCCTAGGACCTAGGAAAGTGATCTACAAATGGTGGGGTTTCCACAATCTATGTTAATTTACAGGAGGTAGATCTAGTAGATCCTCAATGATTTTTTACAGGGTAAGAACCAGGCTTTCCTGTAGATTTTCCCCTACACCAACCCAGTTACTATGATACTGACCGTAGGTGGTTTGTCAAACTGCTCCAAAAAAAAGGCGTTGAGGTTTATACGCTCATGATTTGGGTGTGTCTGAAAATAGTGTACCCCTAAACCCAATGGTTAATGATCATTATCCCTATTAAATGGCTATTTCATTGGGAATATACCCTATTTTCAGACAAACCCATTTGTCCATGTTTCTCCAAGTTTTTGCTTGTTGATATCGCAGGTGCCACCACTTCACGCAAGATTCAAACGGCCAACCAATGTCAATGGTGTTGGGTGGTTCTTGATCTGGTGGATTTTGGATGATAGTGTAAATTTAAACTAAATATATATATATATAAGTATATAAGCACCAAACACTGGAATTTATCATATAAAACAAAGTTGTGATATTTCGAGTTGTCTAAGTGTTTGTTTGCTTGTTTGATTGATTGATGGGTTGTGTGTTTGTTTGTGTGTTTTGCTTTGCTTTGTTTCGTTTTGGTTTGTTTGTTTGTTTTCGTTTTGTTTGTAGTTTATTTTTATGTTTATTATCATTTTTTAAGTTTTTCGTTTTTGTTTCCACTTTGGCTTCTTGGCTTTTTGTGTCTTTTGCGACTTGACTTTTCTCGGCTTCTTAGCGTCTCGGTCGTTCTATCTTGTGTTTTTTGTTCTTTTGGAGGTGGTTTTTGCAGCTTAGTGGCAGTATGCTGCAACATGCTGCAACTATTGTGCAGATGGCGAGTAAAACATCAATTAGAAAGAATGAAGGGCCACAACAATGTTAAGAAACCCAAACAGCTGCAAATACCAGTAAGACACGTCAGCACCAAAATGCTGCAAATACCCTTCAAATCAGAGATCCAACATGCACTAGGCTGCAAGCATTGTCTTGTGCAAACAGCAAACTATATAAAAAATATACTGATACTGTAGTAATAAAAGAGCTTTACCCTCTGGTAAATAAGCATAGACCCTGAAAATAAGCAATTTATATATATATATATAGTGGAAACTAGTCCTCCAACCCCTATCTGGCAGGGTCTATGTTAATTTACTGGAGGGTAACAAATTGTAAAACCCCAAAACAACTCTTAAACACACTGAATCACTCAAACTTGCAGAAACTCCAAGCAAACCCTAAACCAACCCTTAAACCAACTGCCAAACCACCCCTAAATAAACACCTAAACCAACCTTGAATAAATTATAAACCACCACTACATAAATCCTAAACCAGCCCTAAGAAGCCTAAATAAATTCTAGACCAAGGTCCAAAATGTTGCAAATCTCATGCAAATTGCATAATTATGTTTGTTCCAAAGTGCTAAAACATGCTGCAGGTAGTGCCGTGCAAAGTGCAGATTCTCGCTGATTCTAGCTACAAACGCTCTTCCAACGAGAAATTCAAGGTCCAAAGGCTCCCAAATAGCGTCCAAGTTAGCGATTTCAGCTTCCAAATGCTGCAAAATACAATGCAAATGAAAGATGTTAGCTCCAAAATGCAGCAAATTACATATCTTAGCTTCAAAATGCAGCGCATAGCAGTCAAAACGACTAACATAAGGAATCGTCACACCATCCAAAGGGTGATCAATCAGAAGGGGTTTGCCACTCCGGGATTGGCCCAACGTCAGGTCATTTGATCGGCGCCCAAAAGGCAAGCTATATGGCTGGGTAGCTTAGTGATGGCTGGTGAACGTTGGTTGATTTTTGAGCCATCTTGATGAAGATGTTGTGAAGATATGTGGTTGGCTTGTGGCTGTCGGTTCATAAATTTGAATGATTACCCTTTGGCACCTGAAAAACTAAGACTTTGAGCCCTCGAAATGAGGTTCCAAAGAGGATACAGCTAGTTAATTTAGTATGTACACGTATTTTCGGCAATACATATATAGTTTAGGCATGTTTAGGCTACTTTTCCACAAGGGCACCTAGGTTTGGCCACTGAAGAGCGACAAAAGCTCTGGTATATTCTGGTGGGTTTTGTTTGTGAACCTTGGTGAGTGGTTAATTGGTTGGATTGTGTTGGATTTATGTGATTTGATGTGTAGGCTAAATTTCGGCATTTTTCTGGAGAGTTTTATGTATAATTATGTCTATACGTAATAATTATATATATATAATTATATATATAATTATATATATAATTATATATATACACTGTATATATAACTATGATTTCGGTATCCCATAAAATAATATAAAAGAACTGTTATCTTTCAACGCTTGTCCAAGATGATCGTGAGATGTTTGGTGTTATGCCTGCAAAAATCTGCAAAAAATGTAGAGAATCTATTTGAAGATCTGGATGTGCCATCCGCAAAAAACTAATTACACATGTTCAGGGACTGCAGCTTAATGCATTTAAGTATTTCCATGGAAAAGTTGTCGTTGTCCCTCTGTTTTTTTAATGGTAAATTTGCTAATCTCAGGAAACCATGGATAAATTGAGCATTGTCGTTGCTGAAGAGATCACTAGTCATATTCAAGACCATGCCATCGAATGAGGTCCACCGTATGTTTATCTGCCCCACTTCACCGACATGTTTGAACGTTTTGTGCGTCTACCGTGTTTTTGGTGCCCAAAATGGATACAGTAGACAGGCAACTGTAGCAGTTTTTTCATGTTTTTTCTACATTCGGTATTGCACAGTTGTACTGCGATTTACTTTTTTATCTACTTTGTTGACCCGAAAAAGAAACACCTGGATAGTTCTTCCGGCCTGCAAAGAAACTCACCGGTAAATTATTCTCGAGATCATCAATGAGATGTTTCTGGAAGAATTATAGGGACCTTGCAACGACCTCATCTAGGAAGCATGCGAAAAGAAACGCCCATTTTCAGCTTGGGAAGTAGCATAATTTGTTTCGAGATGGCCGATGAAATTGACATTCTTGAATCATCTTGAATCTATGAGGAAATCTATTGCACATTACATATATAGAATATTATAGAATCATATATATATATATGTACATATATTATAACATACATATTTACATTATATCGATCCAAGAGCATTTTGCTATATTATTGATGAGTTAATAAGCCACTGATGATTGGTTATTGGTTAATATGAAATCAGTGGGTTATTATAATCAATCATATAGCAACAGAATATTTTAAAACGTAAAATTCTTAAAATTCATATTCTAAGTGCTGGTCCATCACAGTAATATAATAACCATAAATCAATAACCAATCATATATCAATCAGTGGGTTATTCATGGAATTGGATGATGGGAAAATTGGAACCGGAAACCCTATTTGTTGGTAAAAAACCATGGTTTCCGGTTAAGATGTTCCCAAGAAAACCAATCCATTGAGTTATTAACCAATGAAATTAATTATTGGTATAAATTAATTATTGGTATAACCCAATCATAACAATCATATTCATCAATAAATCAATACCAATTATTAACCAATGAAATTAACTGGTTACTCCAGAGCTTGAGATCCTGAAGAAAGATCTCTCGAGGTCACCAACGCTGATTTCTGCATTTCTGCCTCGTCAAAAGTCCTGCGGCGGTCGGCGATTCCACGTGGGAATCTGAAAAATGCAGTGGGTGAATGGGAGAAAAAACAATGGCTTATGATGATTACATGATGATTACATGATGATTATATGATGATTATATGATGATTATATGACGATTAATTATTATGGATGATTAATTGATGATTAATTGATGATTAATTGATGATTATAACATGGGTCTGACCCTCTGGTAATTTAACAGCTTGCTATTGAACATGGCCATTTATAGCGGATTTACCCGTTGAAAATAGTGATTTTCCATAGTTATGTAATTACACGTTTACCAGAGGGTAATATGGGTTTGATCCTCTCTACCATTTGTATGATTTTGTATGTTTTCTGTGGTTCTATCATTTCACATTTCTTGTGGATTTTAGTGTTTTCTGGTAACCGGAACTTCTTGTTCTAGGTCGAATCATATCCCAATTTTATTAATAGTGCGTTGGGTCAATTGCCACTTTATTTTGCTGTGAAAAGCTACGACACCATAATTGGGGAGACAAGCATCAATTTGCTTGATCCGAGGGTCCGGAAAAATTATCCGCCATGAAATGTGGTTTACCCAATAGTCTCCAACTGGATTGTGTTTTCTTCCATCATTTCAGGAATTTATCATGTTTTATCCAAGCAACATGTTGGGTAGACGGGGGGGTTGCCCATGTTTGCCCGAATCTGATGGCCGTCTTGATTAACTCCAAGATGTTCATCATTTAGTTCGTTAAGATGTAGTTTTTGTTTATTCAAAAATGTGCGTTTCGCTGTGGTGGCACTGTCTACCCAACATGTTGAATTCACACTATCAGAAATGATGTTCCCGTTGGAAGGAAATGTTCCACTTTTCGTAATGAGTTCATGACCCTGGTTTTTCTGTCCACATTTTGTGGGATATCTGTGGTTCTCCCAGTTTTAACTGGCTTCTGACCCAGCGAGAACCCTGCATCAGTTGTCGCAGGGTCAGTCGCAGGACCAGAGTGCCAGAAGCGAAGGGCTTCCGGTTGGCGAGGCGTGGTGAAGATTAGTGAAGATCGAAGCCGAAAAAGCTGTGCTTTTTGAATTCCCCAGATGGAATTTTGTGTTCAAAGTGTTTTTCCGTACTGTTTTTTGAGATTCAATTTGATAATTTTTCCATACTGTTCCATCCTGGTTGGTGGTTTGAAAACATTTTTTATTTTTGCATATATTGGGGATAACAATCCCAACTGACTTTCATATTTTTCAGAGGGGTTGGTTGAAACCACCAACCAGATACTGTTCCATCAAAAAATGGTGACTATTTGCACACATAATTTGAGATATGGGCTATGGGATATCTCATGGGACATGAATGGAACATGGCTGTGGGAAAGAAGGCTGGCTGTTGCTAAGGTTAGTTTTGATGTCCCTTCCCAGCGACAATGATATTGTGGGATATGTAAAGCTTTTTTGATTTGATTGTGGATCTATCATTTTTGGGATATTAGATGGGATATATATATATAAATATATTAATGATTAATTCGGGATATTGTTTTGATGTCTCCTAGTTGACAGGTTGATATTTCGGGATCCATGGTCCAGGTCCAACCGGTGGACATTCTGCACCAGGGTGCCCAATGTTTAGCCCAATGACCACCAAACTTATCCTTGTTGTTCTCCAAGAACTTGCTACTATTGCCCAACTTGTGTCGAGGGGCAAGGTACTTGAGTGATAGGTAGCAATAGGTTCATTTGCGCGTACCCATCTCTATCTATGTATGCATCACTATATAGTTATATTGTATATATATATACATATATAGATGCGTATTACACATGTATACATACATGTCATGAGCACGAAATGTTTAAATCAGTGAAAGGTAAGGATATGGCGTTAAACCCAAAGATCCCTAGAAAATCGTGCTTTGAAGTTGGCATTTGTTTTTTGTCATTTTCTCATATCAACCAATGAGCACAAGTGGTGCCTTTGAATCCTGCGAAATCCACAAAGTTGCGATTTGTCATTTGGGGCTTCCTGAAATCCAAACCACAAAGCCAATTTGACAAGACCATAGAAGACCATTGTTTAAACCATCAGCCATCTGAAAATAGACTACCATTTGATGATGCTTCGGATATTAAGTGAATAAGACCATTATTCTCATGTCTTATTTTTTATTATAGAAAATGGATCATCATTCTCCATGGTAATCATGTTCTCCATGTTATGTGATCCTATCTGATCCTCCTGTTGGTTCTATATCACATGAATATCCTCATGCACATTCCATTCATATCTCAAGTATTCCACTATTTTTCCACAAGTATTCCACTGACGTTCCATGAGCATCTTCGGACAAAAATAACATCACCGCAGATTGACTTTGACTTGGCCGTTTTGAGGCCAATGACGCTAGTGGGGTGCAGGACCAGCAGCAAAAGTGTTTCGCTACCGATAAAGATTGTGTTCAATTTTTTCTGCATCTTTTTGCAGGAATGCTGCATCCAAGATTGGAATGTCATAATGATTTCATAGATCATTTTCCCTGGGTAAGTCAACTGGTGATTGGTAGTACATTTTATTGATGTGTGTTGGGTTTAGCTCCAAAAATCAGATGTACTTATTTAGCATCCAACTCAGCAGGCAATGCCGCTTGGTAGTAATTGCTGGATATTGCTGGCCCAGGCAGATGGGGGGGTCCTAAAATGGGGGTACCCCAATAGCTGGATGGTTTACAATGGAAAATGCCTATCTAAAATGGATGATTTAGGGGTACCCCCCATGTTAGGAAACCTCCATATCTGGTGGGTGGTTTCCCACACATTTATTTTCAACGATCACGATCCCAACTGATTACTGCAATATGTTCAAGATGGAAACCACGAACTAGCATTTGGTAAACCCAATGTCATAGTCACCATCCACCAACAGAGGTTTGTGGAATTGGGTACCCTCTGGTAATTTAACAGTTCGCTATTGAAAATGACCATTTATAGTGGATTTACCCATTAAAAATGGTGATTTTCCATAGCTATGTTAGTTCACCAGAGGGTATCTCTAAGATTGGGATGATGTTTATCATGACCCCCCAGTCATGGTTGGTTACTGCTATGGTGACTATGGCACAGGGTGCAGGCCACATTAGTTACCAACAAACTATTTCTATCTAACCATGAAAGCCATAGTGGAATATGCGCAGGACAACAGAACCCGTTGCTTGATGAACTTCATCCAAGTCATCTCATCACGTCGTCTGCCTAGCTCTCTACCGCCCTGTTGCAGTCCGCAAGGAGGGTAATCAGCAGAATGAACCCTCCACCATTCCGGAGGATGCTGGGGAAGTTCAGCGTAGTGAGGCTGCTACCTGCTGTGAAGTGTTGATAGCAATGATAGATTGTCAACCATAGAATGGTGATTGAACCATCAATGGCGGTTAAAACATGGCGATTCTCTGTATATATTGTATATCGAAGGAAGTTTAGAAGATGGGAAGAGTCAGAGAAGAGAAGAGAAGAAGAAAGAAGATCAACAAAGAGAAAGTCTCAGAAGAAAGAAGATCCAGGTGCGGGAAAAGGTAGGCTCGCTAAAGCGGCGGGTGCGGAGCCATCTGGCCAGATGAGAGATGAAAAATTGCACGCCGTTATGGCGCGAAGCACATTTCCAAGTCAAAATGTACAAAACACACCAGGGTCGGATCACTTTTGGAAGTTGAGATGTCGAAAAAGTGCACGCCGTTGTGGCGCGAAGCACATTTGCAAGTGAAAACGCTAAAAACACTTCACGTTCGGAGCACTTTTGGAAGTTGAGATGTTGAAAAAGTGCACGCCGTTGTGGCGCGAAGCACATTTCCAAGTCAGAATGTACAAAGCACACCACGTTCAGAACACTTTTGGAAGTTGAGATATTGAATAAGTGCATGCCATTGTGGCGCGAAGCACATTTCGAAGTCAAAATGTTAAAAACACCAGGGGTTCGGACCACTTTTGGAGGTTCAGATGTCGCTTCGCGTGGCAGGCGCAAGGGATTGTGCACCTGTCAAAAGTGAGCAAAACGAGAGGGTTTTGTAGCATTTCCAAAAACGATGGCAGGCGTGGGACATTTGAAGAGGATCTGCAAAGATGCATTTCGCGTGGCAGGCGCAGTACAAGAGACACATGAGGTAGATGTGTTAGGAGATCAGGGCAGAGATTTCCTGAGAGGGGTTGCATTTTGGAGCATCAGATCGTCAGTTTTGGGAAGATGAGATTTTGCGTGACAGGTGCAACACTTCGTATGACGCGTGGCTTGCGCAGTACTTTAGACAGGTGGAGTGGAAAAATCGCAAAACGCATTGATACGAGGCCGTCACCTCTGCACTCAACGTTCCATTTTTGAAGGAAGTCTCGCAGAATTGCTTCGTTCTTGATCTTGCCAACTTGGAAAATTGAGGATGTCTCGCAGAATTGCTTCGTTTTTGACGTTGTCAACTTCAAAAATTGAGGAAGTCTCACAGAATTCTGCGTTTTTGACGTTGTTAAGTTCAACAATTGAGGAAATCTCGCAGAATAGCTTCGTTTTCAAGCTTGCAGATAGATAGCTAGATGGATCAAAATCTACAACTACAACTACATTAATTACACTACACTACGCTAATTCCCGTACACTACATTACAACTACAACGACAACTACAACGACAACTATGACGACAACAACAACCACTACCACTACTACCACTACTACCACTACTACCACTACTACCACTACTACCACTACTACCACTACTACCACTACTACCGCTGCTACCACTACTACCACTACCAACACTACTACCACTACTACTACTACTACCACTACTACTACTACTACCACCACCACCACTACTACTGCCACTACTACTGCTGCTGCTACTACTAGTACTACTAGTACTGCTAGTACTACTAGTACTACTAGTACTACTAGTACTACTAGTACTACTAGTACTACTAGTACTACTAGTACTACTAGTACTACTAGTACTACTAGTACTACTAGTACTACTAGTACTACTAGTACTACTAATACTACTAGTCCTACTAGTCCTACTAGTGCTACTACTACCAC